ATGTAACATAGTAACTGTATGTATTGTACTGTTTCAACATAAATGATAAATACTTGAAATACAACAGGAAATCTGCCTTGATAGAACCACAACAATATCATCAACTGCAGGGAAAGATACTTCAAAGGATTCCCATGTTTCAGTTTCAAGGTTTATGAAATACAGGACTTTCTTTTACGTTAGACAAACAACAACACAAAGCCCCCACGGAAAAGGGAAAACAGAAATCAACACACACACACACACACACACACACACACACACACACACACACACACAAAAAAAAAAAAAGCCATGCAGACACAGAAGAGACACCATCATGACTTTAAACAACTTCCAGAAGAATCAGAAGCCCAAAAATTGTTAGCTCTAACTCAGAATGCATAACACGTTTTTCTGAACAGCTCCCCAAATACGTGCCAAAGGCAGCAATGCGCTGATCTTTGGGTACTGCACCATCAACAGCACAGCATCAGATAAAACAATAATGGAGCAGTGCTCACTGACACAATAGTGAACTGCACATAGGAAACCACAAAATCTCCAATGCCCTCAAAATGAGAGGACTTGAGAAAACAGTTTTTCATCTTAACGTACCCCCGGTATCCTGCAAGATCACAGAAACAGTCAGCAACTGAAGTTTCTTTCCAGGAATGAAGCAGATGCTCCTGCTCAAGAGCCAACAGATCAAGCATTTATGAGGCACAGAGCCAACTCCAGAGCACACAGTAGTTCTGGCAGCTGTAGATGCTCTGCAGAGCAGCTCTGGTCAGTGGCCACATGGAGCCCATTCCAGCCACGTGGATGTTTGTCTGCCCGTTTTCTTCCATCTCCAAGGCAAGCTTATACTTACATACCACTGAAATCTGCGTTAAGAACAGACTGTGAATCATGGATTGAAAATTACAGGCATCTGCCAAAGCAACACAACGTATCTGGGGGGTGAGGGAGACTTTCCCCTCCAAAATATTTTAAGGTATAAGCACCTTTAAAACTGTGGTTGGTGCCCACTCATGAAAACAGACTGGAGGCTGCAGGTTTACCACAGCATGGGAGAAGGGAAGAAGAAGAGATCAATCTTTAATTTTCCAAGACAAAATACACACCATCCAAAAAAAAAAACAAAAACAAAAAAAAATCTGTAGCATACTTAAAAAGTTAAAAATTATGATAATAGGGAAGAAAAAGCACAGCCTCATCTTGATCACAGTGGTTATTTTCACAGCATATGTGGTAGTCCAGGTGGACCTTTTTTGACCACCGTGAAGATAACACAGAGCTGGTACTACATGATGTGAGCACTTGGGTTATATTTGGTTATTTTTATTTGCTGCAGGAACCAGCTCCCAACGGGGGAGCCCTGCACCTTATGCCAGCCATTTTCACTCCTGCCTACTTCTGCATTCAGCCTTATTACCTTCACTCAGAAAGTGACCTACATATGCAATAACAAGATGCTGCCAGGAACACTGCATATGCCACATTCAAATACAGCACGTGGAAAAGACAGCTAAGCATTCTGAATGGAAAGCAAGCACTGAGCAGGAGGCTCACACCACCCTGCATCAGCAGTGACAGAGGTCAGATAGAAGACACGACACCTGCCCAGGTCAGCCCCACTGCGCTGCACAGCTGGGAGCAGACCACATGCCCCCCTTCTGCTAAGGGCCTGGGTGGTGAGCATTAAGCAACAACCACTGATAAAAAGAAAAAACAAACCCTCTTACTCAGTGAAGAGCTGATCATTAATTGCATACCATCTATTTTGCATGCTGAACAAGGCAGGGAAATCTAATCATGCAACTAATGATGTACACAATAGCAACCAAACTCTGGGTAGCTTCAGCAGCTCTTCTTCCACAGACATCACCTCAGGTTTTTTTGAAGCACTGATGCAAGCAGCACACCACCTAAAACACCACACCATCACCCACTGAACATTAACTGAACATTACCAGACACACAGAAGTATGCTCCATATCAATGCATTTCTTCCCAGCTAGGCTCATACAAAGAGCTGCTGAACACGTGATCCAGTTCTCTCAGCATCTGAATGTCACCCACATTTTTTTAAGGAATATCTATCCAAATGTTACATTCCTGATGGCAAACTCAGCCAAATTCCTGAAGAGCCATAGGCATCAGAGCTGCTCACGAAAGGGAGCATAGGAGAGAACGATGGCCACAGCTTTGCCCTTAATCTGTTCTACCTGAAGTTTTCTGAAGACTTTCAGCCTGGGGTGGACATCCACCCCCTGTATCTCTTCAACTTTGCGTTTAAAATTCAGACCTGAAAAGTCCTCAGCATATCAGCTTGCTCATCATGCTAACCAGGGTTTTCATTTCATCCCATTCTGCATTTACAATGAGGTGTGCAGGAGGGGAACACGTGACTTCCCAATAACAAAAATCTACTCAACACCGGCAACACATGAGGACTTTGGTTTGTCCTTGAGAAAATGTCTGCATTCCAGAAACATCTCCATCTGTAATCACTGGACAGAAAAGGAGAGTTCTATCTCCGAGCAGCTCTGTGGAAAATGCTGCTAAATGGAGAAGACAGGCAAGTAAGAGATGTTCCTCATTTCAGCATACATCTTGTGGTTTTCATCCTGAAAGTTTAACCGCAATCCTTTCTAAATCACAGTCACAAGAAGAATGCCCGTTTTCTCCCATGGTCACAATTAGCACAGATCCACACTGACTGAAGCCACACAGGCAACCACCGTCTGTTTTTACAGCACGGTCTGCAGCACAGTAGCTCATTTACTAAATACAAGCAAATACACAGCTGTGGAGCATAACTCATGCTGTGCAATCAACAGATCACTGCAAGAAAGACTTCAATAAGGTACAAAGTCATACACAACTAAAAAGCTGTTACTGGTTTGCACAGAGTGGTGTAGACTTGGGAAATGCTTTCCTATCTGTGCATTTCAGCAGCTAGAACTGTATCTGGGGTGATGCTGCGCTGAGCTGTGTCTTTAACCCAGACGAGGAAGGTCGCATTCACTGCTGGCAGCCAAAGGGCTCTGAGAGAAGAGAGAAAAAACTTAAAAGTTCTTTCGATTTCTAATTCCTTCATGACATCATCCCGGCTCCCTCTGGTGGAGGGCTCAATGTGGCACTTAACAACAGACTGCTGAACACGAACAGTTTTCAACCTTTTTTCTCCTTTGTAAAATAAACCTCATTAGGATTGGACTCTCGCAGTGCTTCAGTGATGGCAAACTAAGGTAATGCTTGGTTTCTGACCAGAACCTCTTTCACGCATAAACAAAAGCAATCTCTGATAAAAAAGGAGAAAACAGCTACTTTTATTATATTTTTTATTTTCAGCATTAATGTCTTCGTAATCCAAAATTCTCAGGGTGCTTCTCAGTCCTTCCTTCAGCTTTCCAGGCCACAGCAGAACAATCTCCTCTCTCCGTGATGTGGGAAGAGAACAAAAGTCTCTCCCCAAACCATACTGAGTCCTGCAGCTTCACAAAAGAGCAGCCCCTCAGCGCCCAGTTTCCATTTTGATTTCTATGCATTAACCACCAAGCCTCATATCTCTCAGATGATGCCAGTGTTAATGCCATAAGACAACACTAAGAAGCCTGTGCATCTCGTACACACATACACAAAGTCACACCAGCCTTCCCCTTTCCTCTCTATCTCCCCCACCCCAAGACGACATTACTGCAGCCACTTACATCCAACAAACCACATGAGAAGCTTCACAATGCAGAAAGGGGGTCACATTTCACATTTTTAGAAGGTACCATTAACATTTGTGCTACACAGTGCCATCAAAATACCTGTTCTGCCCTTTTATATCAGAATCGTTTTGACTCCTGAAAATAACAACAAAGCTTATCAACATTTTGCAGTCTAAAGTTTGATTTAAAAAGGCACAGGGCATCAGCATTTAAAGAAATAAATAAAAACTCAGCACCCAACTCAGGGTAGGAAGACTGCCAGCTGCAGGAGATGTGCCAGCTGCACAGGGAAGCCAGTATGGGTCCTTTCAGGGATGGAACTGATTTTATTTCCAACAGCCTTCATTATGACTCACTAACTTTTTTCCTTACTAAGACTGTGAATTGCATCCTACCAAGCAGACATAAAAATTGAAAAATATATTCAAAGGTTAAGACACAGAATGCAGTTTTGCAAAGAAAACAACTCTAATTCTTCACTTGTCCTCATGTTCAGAGATAGCAAGTGTTGTGAGATCACAGCAAGAGTTACTTTTCTCTTTTTCTAAGACTACATTCCAAATAACCTCACAGCGCCTACCATGGATGATGAATGCAAATCAAACTACAAACTACTGACAGGGTATCAGCTGAAGCACAGCCCAAATCCTGGGGACAGTTAGGATTTATTTGGCACGGAAAAGAGCCTTAAGGTAGGAAGAAACATTCCTCATCGCTTCACCTTCCCTGGGACAAGTAGGAGAAAGTTTTACCAGGCTTATCTGCTCACAAGCTATGCGACAGACAGGTAGGCAGCCTCAGAGCACATCCTGTTCTGCCGGATGCCATGAATAAAACCCGAAGCCTTCCAGAGCAAACATCTCCGCCTCACGATTACAGCCTCGTTCTGTCCCCATGGCACCCCTTTAGCGCCCAACGGAACCTGAGCCGTGTGGGCAATCAGAAGAGCAGTTCAGTCCAGAAAGGCAGGCATCATCCGCTCACTTCTGGCACCCCAACCGCACCACGTGAAGGCTTAGAGGTGAGCTGTGGGCAGAGACCCCTTAGAGGTCCGCGTGCAGGACAGCAGAGGGGCGGCAGCTCCCGCAGCACCGGGCGGCTCTCCGCCCCACAGCGAGCAGAAAGAAAGAGAACAACCCCGAACACCCTCCCTTCCCAAACAGGGAAATAAAAACGTTTCGGGGCACAAAGAGCCACGTTTCGGGTTCCGTCGCCGCGTTACATAAACGCGGCGCGGCAGAGCGGCTCGGGGGGACCCGGAGGACGCAGGGACGGAGGAGCCCGGCCGGCACTCACCGATGCCCAGTCCCACCACCACGCGGCCCCCCAGCAGCGTCTCCTTGTCGCGGGCGGCCGCCAGCACGCCGGCCCCGGCCGTGAAGAGGCCGCTGGCCAGCAGGATGCAGGGCCGGCGGCCACACAGCCCGTTGAGGACGCCGCCGGCCAGAGCGGACAGCGCGGCGGCGCCCACCGTGCTGGAGACCAGCAGCTCCTGCCACAGCGCGTCCAGGTTCAGCTCCCGCTTGAGGAGCAGCAGGGCCCCCGACACCACGCCGGTGTCGTAGCCGAAGAGGAAGCCCCCGAGGGCGGAGAACACGGACACCACGTAGACGAAGCCGGGCGTCTCGTCCCGCTGGAACTGCCGCCGCGCCGCCCGCTCCAGCTCCGCGCCCGACGTCGCGCTGTTCAGGCTAGAGCACGACTCGGCGGCGATCAGGCTGCACTCGCCCGCCGCCGCCGCGCCCGAGCCGGCGGCCCCCTCCGCCTGCCGCCGCCGCTTCTCGCCCATCAGGTTGCTCAGGCTCCGCAGCGTGTACTCCACATTGTCGCCGGCCTTGCGGGACATGGGACGGCCGCGGCGGGGCCCGCCCCGCCCGGGGGAGGGCGGCTGCCGGGCGGCTCCGGACGCGGCGGCTGCCGGCGCTCGTCCTGCCCGCCCCTCTCGGGCCGCGCTCAGCCGGGCCGCATAGCGCCCGGCGCCGCCGTCGGCCGGACTCCAGGGGAAGTTGCCGCCGCTCCCAGCGCCCGGGCGGAGCCGGAGGCGGGGGCGGGCGGGGACAGCCGCCAGCGCGGCCCGGCGGGTGCCAGGGGCCGCCCCTCCGCACTCCGCGCCTGCGCCGAGGGCCGCGCCTGCGCAGCGGCTGAGCCGTGTGGCAGCAGCGCGCTGGGGCGCCGTCCGGCCCCGGTCTGGGAGTGAGTGCTGGTGCTGTGCGGGGTGCCGGGCGGGTCTTGGTGCTCCCCGCTCCTCGCTCGGCCCCGCGGTCCGCCCACTGACAGAGCCCGGAGTAACGGGCGTCCCCGCCTAAAGATCGCGGTGAAATGAATAACTCTTATAGCCCGAATAAAGGCAAAACCTAAAGTTGATCTAAAACTCAGTGGCAGAAGCTAATGGAAAAGCGGAGCAGTTGCGCCCTGGGGAACAGATGTGTTAGCGTGGAGGGGGAAACAGGCCCGGGGCTCGTGCTCGCCTTTGCGCTCAGTGGCGGCGGAGCACAGCGACCCGGTCTGTCCGTTTCAAAGCGTTTTGAGTTGGGATTCTCATGAAGAGCGTGAACGGGAAGGTTCCGCTCAGACGACGTAGCGCTATAACGCGCCCTCCCGGCGGTTCGGTGGGAGAGCCGCGCCTCCTGGCGGCGGGCGCCCGAAGTACGAGCGGGTTTCTGCCAGGCGCCGCGGGCTGCGCCGGGCGGGAAAGGTCCTGACAGGGTGAGACCGCCCGCGGGGCTTCAGCGGCGCAGCCTTCCTGCCCACCTCACTGCCGTCTGCCGGGGTGCTCCTCGTGAGCCCAACCGGTAGATGGAAAACGATGGCAATCCCATGGGCCACAGGTGCGCTCAGCCCGCACCCTACACGTATTACTAGCCTCGGGGATTAAAACATTAAGAGGGGAGCGCCAAGTCCGAAGGATGCACAGAGCCTTTTGCCTCTGTGTCAGAGCATCCTGCGAAATGCCCATGTGCTGTGCCGATGTGCTGTGCTCAGGTAGTACTGACTAGAATGGGTTGTAATAAAGCTACGTAGTGATTGCGGTGACAGCTGTGGCACTGGATGGTTAAATATAGCTCAGCTTCCATGTCTGAGAAGCCTCATCCAGGTAAAAATTGAACATGTTAGCACCCAGTTGTTTTTAACTGAGATTTGGATAATGTGGTGTCATTGGTACAGGGCACTCCTTATTGCTTTCAGCCATAGGACCCAGCCCAGCACTCCAGCAGGATCCATGCAAACGCTGTGCTGCAAAAAGCTGTGCCCTCAGGCCCAAGGCTCTCCGGGGGCAGGCTGGCTCACATCTCCAAAAGGCCATCAGCAGAGAGATCTGCAATGTTCCAGAAGCCTCCTGAACTCACCCAGTAAGCACAGCGCTCACTGCTTTCATGTGGAGGCCCCAGTAAAAAATGTGGGACACAGCGCATTAAACAGAAGACAGTCACAGTAAATCCCCAGCCAGCGAGGAATACTTACGCAGAATATTGTTACAGCAGCTGGCTGTCACAAAAACAACCTGTCTTTTTAACAGCCACCTCAGAAGCTGCAGACATTCTGTGTGTTATAGTTAACACAGACTCAGGAGAGCTAACAAAAAGCTTTTTTTTTTTTTTTTTCCCTGGCAGGCCCAATGCAATCAAAAATAGACATATTTCTTCTTAGGTCATGCTGTCAGGATTATCTCTTAAAAGCATTCCCTGAAGAAGCACAACATGGAGAAGTTCAGATGCAGGATATACTACACCTAAGACCGACTGCATGAGGAGAGAGGATTTGTTTGGCTTTTGTATAGATCTTCATTATTGTGATCATCCCTCCATGGTACCTGGATTTCATGGCAACAGCTGCCTCACAAAGGATTTTACAGTAACGTGTGGGGGGTCAGATCCACAAAAGGATTTGGGTGGATTTTAGGCGTGTTATTATTTCAGGAGGGTTTAATGTTTAATTGCAAGACTTACAGATTCACTGCACTGGCTCATTCTGTCCTGCAAGGTCTGTTTGCAGAACTGTTTGCAAGGCTGTCTTGTGAACTAGATCAAAGAACCTGTCCAGCTTTAGCAAATTCAGCTTTGTAGATTTCAGCAAAGAGGAAGAATAATTACAGGATTGTACTACTTATATACGGTTAATACATGGCACATATCAGAAGACATCTTCCAAAAAGCTACTGAGAGCTTGTGTGTGTGCCCAGACCTCCCCCAGGCCTGAGTAACTGGGAGTTAGTTCCCATCTCAGTGTTTATTGGCACTTGAAAGCAGGTGGATTGATGCCTAAATCTCCTGGCCATTTCAGCACAGCAAGATTTGGCTCTGTTATTTTATAGATGAATGCTGCATGGCCTCACATGGGAAACGGGAGACCCAAATCACAGATCTGTAATCCTTCCAGTTCCTGCTTTGTGTTTTCTTTCATATATAAAGAACCAACACCAATAGCTGAACAAAAGTTCCCCTTCATATACAAAAGCTCTCCTCCACTGGACTCCTTTACGTGGAACTGTAAATTCTTTCTCTCTTGATGTGCAGGGTGACTTTAAAGCCAATTATTTATCTTCTACGTTGGTTATCTGAACCTGTAAACCAAGGCAACACTATTGACAACCTCTGTAAAATCCATTATAATGAATTTGTTAGTAAGGAACCTACTGAATTTATTAGGAAGGAGAAATGCATTTAATCCTACTGGTCAAATGTTATGGATAATTTATTTAGCAAGTAGAAAAGTTACAGTATTAGCACTGGAAGAGGCTGTGGATGATGGTGCAAAAAGCTGACAAAATGGTGTGGTGACACGTTCCTTACCCAATAGGCAGAGCTAGTTGCAGCACAGCTGAGGCTGCAGAGGACTTCATACTACAGGCTTTTTTAATTTCATATAACTTCACCAAAGTCATCATCTGAGCTCTCATTTTGCATAACTGCCCTCTCTTTCATTCTAAATATATATTTATAAATACATAAATCTCAGCAAATCCACTTCAGACCCATTGAAAACGCAATTGTAAGAAACACGTGTTTTCTGAAGTTACATTTTCTGCCTATTTTTACAGTCTCCAGCTTTTCCATGCGTTACAGCAGGACTGGATTTTTGGCAGGAGAACAGTTCCTTTCTGCCATTAGCTGTCAAAAGAAAGATCCAGCAAGCTTTGCCTGAAAGTCTCTGGTAGAGTCAGCAGCAAGATGTGCAGGAGTGTGCCTCTGGATCCCAGCGGGCTCTGCCTGGGTCTGCAGCTACGTGCACCAGCCTCCCTCTGGCATCCAGGGTTGAGATGTGGCACTGCTTTAAAAAACTTGGCCTTGCACATGCTGAAAGTAAGGGGCAGTACAAAATGGAGACTTCTACTATTGTACGATATGGGGATTTTTACATCCACACACATGAAATGACAACATCAGGTTACAATCCTTATAAAGTCAATCGTACCCAATAAAACCTGTAACTACTTTTAGTTTTAACACCTGGCAACATCAAAAATCAAGGTGTTGGCACAGTGCTACCCACAAGACAAGAAAGGAATAACTGCTCTTGATACACTGTATTTTCAAACAAATATCTCTCAACACAGAGTGGTTTGTCTGCCTGCCAAGGAGAAACCTCTCTGAGTACTGCATATGGCTGGAGAAGAACAAGTCCTCCCCAGCAAGCCCCTCTCTTGGGATCAAATCATAACCACAGTAATCCATAGAAGATCATAGTTCATGGGAAAGATGCATGCAGAGGAAAGAGAAGCATGTGCAAAACATCTGCGTAATTAAAACAATCAAAAACAAGCAAAAACCACCACCAACAAAAACAAAGTAAATAAATTGGAAAAGCTTTTAGGCTTATGCATGACTTCATGCTATTCTGCATTCCTAGAAAAGCAATGGCTGACCCAGCATGAGTTCACTGCTTCATAAGCTCTCACCTCATCAAAGTAAAATCTAACCTTCAAATCTAAGTCTCAAGAAGTGGGAGCTATATGTTTCAAGTGGCAGATTAAAAGCTGTCTTTGCTGTCAGCTCTGACATTGCAGTGCCACTGAGCAGAACACCAGACAGAATTGCTTTATCTGAGATTTGCAAATGAAGCTGAAAACCCGGGGAGGAATTCAGCGACTGTTTCAGAGAGGTGGTCATACCCTCTGGATCTGACAGATGGTGAAGCAGTTAAAACTTGTGGTGTTTTTTGTTGTTGTTTGGGGTGAGGTGTTTTTTCTGGGGGGGGGAGGCAGGATGACAGACTGCAATGGGGGATAAGCAAATTCGAAAAGGAAAGAGAGCTACATGTGTTCCTTGTACAAAGGCAAATTACACATTAAGAGTGCCTACAGGGGGCTGATATGAGCACGGACATCATCCTGACACAGGAAAGATGAAAGCAAGCACTTCCCACAGCAGCATGGGGAACAGGCTGGAGCAGGAGCAGGCTGGGACTTTCATCTGCCGTCTTGCTTATTTCTCTCTGTATCTGTACTTCAAATGTCCTATTTTCAGCACAGTAGATTGGTATCTTTTTTAATCTATTGGTCTGATTTGTTGGACTGGCAGTATTGGAATCTGCTGCACTTTTTAAAATAGGTCCTCTGTGAAATGCTTTATGGAACTTCCTTCAGCAATTTCAACAAATTCCCTAACAAGCATCAAACCTGCCACAGTGATAATTTTAAATATGAAATTAAACACACATGAAAATCACATTAATAATGATTCTTGACTCCTTCAAAGCAACTGATGTGAATGCATGCTAATCTCACAGGAAGGTTAATGCTGTCAGTGGGAAGTGTTGAGCAGTCTCTGATATTTACTTCAAAATGATGCCACAGATTTTTTAAAAGCCTCTATGAGCTTGACTGTGACTCTTGCTTATATGTGACACTGCCTGGGGGCCAGGGACAC